GACCCTGAATTTGGGAGGCGGCCGTGCTGGCTACCATGGTACTGCGTCTCCTGTGAGATACTGAGATGAAACCAAATGCACACAATCTTGTCCTACAACAACTACAACACTCTGAAAACGTGCTTTTACTGATGGCTAACCTAACCACAAGGGGGTGCTGTTGACACAGTCTCAGATTAATGGTGCATCCAATTTTTCTAATTCACCCGCTCTGTCTCTTCACCTGGTTTTACAGTTAATTTATAATTATAATAATTGCTTACACTTATAAAGCGCTTTTCTGGACATTCCACTCAAAGCGCTTTACAGGTAATGAGGACTCCCCTCCACCACCACCAATGTGCAGCTCCACCTGGGTGATGTGACGGCAGCCTTAGTGCGCCAGAACGCTTACCACACAGCTATCGGTGGGGAGGAGAGCAGAGTAATGAAGCAAATTCATAGATGGGGATTATTAGGAGGCCATGATTGGTAAGGGACAATGGGAAATTTAGCCAGGAGGCCGGGGTTACTCTTTTCGAGAAACGCATTGGGATTTTTATTGACCACAGAGAGTCAGGACCTAGGTTTTACATCTCATCCGAAGGACGGCGATGTAAAACACTTTTGTAAAAACACTTTTTACAGTGTAATGTCCCCGTCACTGTACTGGGGCATTAGGACCCACATGGACTGCAGGGTGAGCGCCCCCTGCTGGCCCCACTAACACCTCTTCCAACAGCAACCTTAGTTTTTCCCAGGTCTCCCATCCAGGTACTGACCAGGCTTACAGCTGCTGACCTTCAGTGGGCTGTGAGTTGCGAGTTGCAGAGTGATATGGCTGCTGGCTATATCAGTTCCTGTCACACTCTAATTTATCATCTGCTCACTCATCTCACTCTCTCCTTCACCTTCTCTTCACATGGCCTCTCTCCTTCTTTGCCCATCGTCTCCTTCTCCTTTCACTTTGTTCTCCTCTTCTCATCTTTTTCTCCTTCCTCACCTTCCGTCTGCCCCCCTCTAGCTCCCCTCCAAAGGCCTACCCGTAGTGCGTCCTGATGGAGTCCAGGGTGTACTGCACTCCGTACTTCCTGCGGAAACGCTGCCTGCCTTCGCTGATCACGGAAGACAGGTACTGGACGTGTCCTGCAAGGAGAGGAAGGAAGGAGGGAAACCAAAGAGAACTTCACATTCCACCTTCAAATAAATCACATCGCACCATTGCTTGCCTTCTTGTAAATTACTGAGAGCTGATTTGTGTGTGTGCCAACCAGGCAAATCGTATATGAAGTTCCCAGGGACAGTTTATCCTCATAAGCTGGAAGGACTGTGTGTGTTAGCTGTACGTGAAGAGACTGTTTGCACTGTGTGTGGAGCAGCACTGACAACATCTTGAACAATAAGGTATTAGCAGTGACTGTTAAAAGGCAGTTACCCTGTAAAATCAGCAACAATCTATCGGCAGTGACAGGATCTTAAGTGGCGATTAATTAGATCTGATAGTGTTATGACAATTACAGTGAAGTAGGAAACTACAGGAAGTGCACTTAAAACCCACAACAGGAGATGCTAATTTACGCAAAGAATTATGGGAAGATGGAACCAGTAACCCAGCCACGTTGTTAAAGCTGAGAAACTGGATTTCTTCCACGAACCTCGGAGACCCTTGGATCAATCGGATCATGGGCCACATGGCAGAATTCATTCGGCAAGGCCCATGGACCTGCATGGACAGTACCTATTCGCACAGCGAAGTGGCTGCTGCTCCAGATTCGGAAGTCGAACAGCAGATGTTGGTACAGGCTGGTCAGGAGGGCGCTGTTCCCCTCGCTGGATACCTGCTTTAGCAGGATCTGGGAGGCCATCAACACACTCATATCCATCAGGGAGCTGGGCACCTGGGGGTGGAAGGGGGCATTTAACTGCTATGTCATTTCATATGTTGGCTGGCTATGACATATCACCCTGCAACTCACAACTGGCAGCCCACTGAAGCTCAGCAGGTATGAGCCTGGTCAGTACCTGGATGGGAGACCTCCTGGGAAAAACTAAGGTTGCTTCTGGAAGAGGTGTTAGTGGGGCCAGCAGGGGACACTCAGCTTACCCACTGGTCTATGTGGCTCCTAAGGCCCTAGTATAGTGATGGGGACACTACACTGTAAAAAGGTGCCGTCCTTCTGATGAGACATAAAACCTGACTCTCTGTGGTCACTAAAAAACCCAAGGTGTTTCTTGAAAAGAGTAGGGGTGTAACCCCGGCATCCTGGCCAAATTTCCCGTTGGCCCTTACCAATCATTGCCTCCTAATAATCCCCATCTATGAACTGGCTTCATCACTCTGTTCTCCTCCCCACTGATAGCTGGTGTGTGATGAGTGTACTGGTGCACTATGGCTGGTGTCATATCATCTAGGTGGGGCTGCACACTGGTGGTGGTGGGGAGTCCCCATTATCTGTAAAGCGCTTTGAGTGGAGAGTCCAGAAAAGAGCTATATAAGTTGTTGTTATTATTATTATTATTATTTCTGCATGCAGCAGTTGGACTATGGGCACAGTATAGAACAATCCAGTCTGTGGAAGGCTGATGAGTTCCATTACATCTGCTATCTGTCTGTCTACCACCAAAGCAGAGGAAAGAAAGAGGAAGGACTGTGAAAGGGAAGAGAAAGAGATTGACCTGAGGAGGAAAAGAAAGAAAGGAATACTTTAAGAGGAAAGAGCCAATGACGAGACACAAAGACGAGACACACTGCTGCCTGCAGTGTCCACACACAGTGCTTACGCTGACCTTGGTGAGCATGGCAGCGATGATGGCAGGGCCGTGGCACTGCAACAGGCTGTCCTGGTTGACGGGGTGATGGCAAACAAAATTCTTCACCATGAGCAAGAAAGCGGCCACGTTGTTCCTCTCCAGGCGACCCTCTGGGGAACAAGGACAGAGCACAGGGCCAACACATGATGTGAAGTCCCTATAGGTGCTATTCATGCACACACAACCCAGACGAGACCACGCAGACGGAACACAGGTTGGCCAAACCCAGAACCAGCCCCATGTTCCCCCCAGCCTTGCCACCCTGACCCCTACTGACCTGAGGACTTGCCCAGGGGCAGCAGCATGCCAGCAGGCCCACGGGAGGAGGTGAGCTCTGGTCCTAGCAGGTCAGAGGTCTCCTGCTCTTCTCTCCCGGCCTCCCCCAGCGCGCACACCTGTTCCAGCAGGGGAAGGAGCACCCCCATCCCCCCCACTGAGTTTACCACATCCTGGGGGGAGACAAAGGCCATGGGACACGGGTTACTGCACTGACGCAGACACAGACACACTGTGAGCTGCACCGTCTGAAAAACAGACATGCGGCGAAGCCCAGAGACAAACACGGGGAGACACACCGACAGACTTAATCACAGACAGACAGGCCAACACATGCAGAGGGAGATGATGGCTGTGACAGACGGTCAGCTCTGACCTTCACATCCCAGTTGACCACCCTGTGTCCAGTGAGCCGTCCATCATATTGGTGGGCAGGAGACAAGTCCAGGCAAATCTGGTTTTTAAAGGCCTGGGGCACAGAGAAAGAGGTTGGAGGGAATGAGGGAGAGATAACATTTCTTCACAACATGAAGAAAGAACAGGAAACGGGCAACGATGCCTTCAACTGAATGAGCTTTACTGGCACCACCCCTGCATTGTCAAAGCATATCATAAATCACAAGAAATAATGTCTTAGAACTAGGATGACAAATGAATCACAGTTTGCAGGGAACAACACTAAGCAGGACGCTTAACAAAATAATACAGGTACAAATAATAATTTACAAAAGAGAAAATAAGACAGCAGGAGCTGCAATGAGAGAGCTGCTCGGAGGAACCACAGATACAGACATCAGGTGTCTGAGCTTGGCTGAGGAGCACATGGTGCAACGCCACCATCTGTGGGATTATGACCGGACGACTATCAGAATCCCCCCTCAATGACCATTCAAGACCACATCGGACCCTTTCAGCTTGGCCAGTATGCTGCCTGGAGAGGCCTAGGCTTCAGTTACGTAATTTGACATTGTGAAAGTGACTCCATGACTCTCTTCAGCACAGAAACATGTGGCAGCTGTCCTGGAGTGAGACTGGGGCCCCTGCCGAGTTAAATAGGTGATGGAAAATAACAAACCCTTGGTATGAAGTGGTAATAAAGAAATATCACATTCTGAGTTTTGTCCTGTTGCAGTCCTCTCTCTCTCAGCACAGGAAAGTTGCCAGTGCAACAGAGGAACAACTCTGACTCCCCCTGTACAGGACTTTGACCCATTTCATGGTCTTTTAGTTCTTACCAAAGCACACAAAATATATGTTTATATGAATTTGTCATGAAACATTCTGAACACCTATTCCGTTCACACGGTACAGAAGATAGACATTAAACAGAACATGCTGAAGCAGGTGTTGGCTTAAATCCAGAATGATCTGGCTTGTAAAACCTGGAACGGCTCAAGCTGCCATGCACCAAGAGTACGGTTTGTAGTTTTTAAGTTTCACTTCGGCAGCTGGAACTTATACCGTGTGTGGGTGAGTGGACCCTCACTCCCACTATTTTCCCAAGGTAGTAGAAAAATCACACCAGTAGCACCTCCTACCTTTGGTGTGTAGTATAGCAGCAGCTTGCTATTGAGGTCGGAGAGCTCCCCATCCGGTTTGAAGAGGGACACACTGTTGGGCCCTGCCGGCAGAGGGGAGAGGAGCACAGTGAGGACAAGACGAACGGTTCCTGTCCTTCAGCAGGATGATTGTTTTCTTACCTGTATCGGTTTTCACAGGGATCCAGGTCTGACACGGGGATATCATCTCTCCCTCTCTGTCCTTAAAGCCAATCCAAAACGAACGATTTCCCAAAACCTTCCCCCTACTTGCTGTCTTTTTTAGCATTTCTCTTCTGTAACCTTCATCATCCGCTCTCCTGCTCTGCCTCCCCCTTCCTCTAAGGGTGCTCCGTGTTTCTCTCCCTGTACTTCATCAGTGCCCCCCCCCCACCCAGCCAGGTCTAACCTGCTGCATACAGGGCGCGGGCCTGTGCGGCCTGCAGGGCCTCATGGCAGATGAAGGCGGTCCCCAGAAGTCCTTCCAGCGAGGTGGGAGAGCCCCACTCTGTGTCCTGCAGCCCGGCAGGGATGCTATGCACCTGGGCGTCCCGGGAGGCGGGGGGGGCAGGGCCGCCCCACTGCATGGTGGCGAAAGAGGCCGGGAAGGATTGGGAGCGGGTGAGGGGGGGGATGTTGGGGGGGAAGGCGGGCTCGGCCGGGGAGTGGGGGGGCAGGGGTGTGGTGGGCGAGGTGGTCGTGGTGGTCCGGTGTCCTGCTGAGCCGATGCAGCAGGAGGTGAAGGGCTATAGGAGAAACACAGGGGATGCGCCATTAACACAGGGAATCCCAGCTCCTGCAGCAGTCACTTCCTTGCAGTAATTAATATTTCTGCCCAGGCCCTTCACGTTTTCATTGCTTGGTGCATTTGTCAAATAATGATCTTAAGAACATGAAGTTTGAGAAAGAGAGGAGGCCTTTCAGCCCATTTATTGAATTTTAACCCAAGGAATGTATGCAGCCATTCCGTGAAAGGTGGTATCAACTTATACAATGTGACTGGTTGGCCTGTTCCACACTCCCACAATTCTTTGCATAAACAAGAGCCTCCTTCAAAGCTGCATTAAAATTTTCCAGATAAGAAAATTACATGAATTACGTTAAACAAGTTGAAGACCTTGGGATCCTCCAAGAATTGAAGATGGCCTTAATAAAAGCGCAGCACATTCCTTACATCAATATGCGGTATGTCTGCTACAAACCATATGTTATTCCCTAAATGTATAAGCAGAGACTTGAACGGTACCCATAATTCAACCTATCAGGACAGTATACTGAGCATTCTATCTTTCCCCAGTTCTCCCACTCTGTTTTAATTTCTCCATGTTTATATTCACCTCCCTCCTACTTTCCTCACCAATGTAGACAGATGAGAAATGTTCAGCCTTCATGTTTTTGAGTTAACACCCGATAGGCAGAACTGAATAGGCTCCAGACCTTCTCTGGCTCAGTTTCACACCCCTTTATCTCCCCCGTCTTTTATTCTCCCCCCCTTCCTAACCCCTTGGGGATGTCGGGAGGTCTCACCTCGTTGAGCGAGGGAAAGCGCAGTTGGGCGGTTTTGCGCAGGCAGCCATCCACGTAGATACTGACCAGGTTCTGACCAAAGGGCCGCCGCCCGGGAATATGAACCACATCCACTGAGTGCTGGAGAGTGGCAAGAGACAGGGAGGCAAGAGTGAGAAAGGAGAAGAGGGGAGGGAAGAGACGGCGCAAAATAAAAATGTTGCATTGGCTGGGTTCACGCTGAAATCTGATGTGTTCGCTAGACCTGGTGGTAGCAGGAGGAGCGGTAAAGAAAGTGTCAAAACTCTGTGTGAATGAGGTTAAAAAAAAACATCACTCCTTCGTAAATGCTACACAACACAATAAAACAGCATGCATCGTTCTTTGCATCCACATGCGCAAGTGACTTTACAGGCAGGTGATCATTCGTATTGGTTCATAACAAGACATGGCTTCAGCCAAAACCTGAGATCACAGCTCCAGGCCAACAGAAGTCCAGTGAAAACGATGGACGACACTATAAAGAACCGGCAAGGCCTCTCTGCAGATGCAGCTCAGTGACAGTGGTGCTGGTGTGATGATGTGAGTTTTTAGTTTGCTGTACGTGATTTATGCATAAGTTATGAAGGAACCGTGTTGCCAAAGCTTCATTTAAGTAACATCACAACATGTGTTTTGGGTCTGCCCGACGCATGAGCTAACAGTACTGGGACAGTCATGTTGGGCTCTGCTGCAAGAGTGAGCCTGTCTCTACCTGTGCTGATAGAGAGGGTGCCCCACTGTAAAACTCACCCAGGCGCAGTCTGTCAGTGGACAGTCAGACAGCGTCACGGCCATGTAGTCTTTCTTGGTGCACACCGCCACCACTAGCATCCCCTCTGAGGTGAAGAAAGCCTCGAACCCTGTGCCACTTGCCGTGAAGAAACTGCAAGGAGACAGAACACACTGAGAGCACCTCCCTTTCATTCCAGCATTACCAACATCCCCAAAACACTACATACTGTAGCTTCTGAAGCAATATATTGTGTTCAGATATCTGTAAGCCTTATTTACTGTGGTATCTTCTGAGGTACGAAGTTTTAAATCTGCCCGGAATTCTTCAGTTCTGAATCTACAATGAACCAGCACAGTTCTCCAGTCCTTTGTAAAGCAGCAGTTGCTGGAAACGTTTAGAGGACTTCAAGACTGTCCTGCTCATGTATCAGGCAATGAATGGTCTCTCTTTTCACATTATCTTAAGGTCTTATTGCATCAATATAGTCCAGATCTTAGATTTAGGTCTTAGATGAGGAACCAGTCAATAAGGACAATGGAGCCTCGTGGTGTGTAGCTCAATGATACTGGTACTCGGTACCCAAATCCATCTCTCAGTCCTCTCCAGAGTCTCAGTCACTGCTGACATTTGCATGAAGATTTGTCTTTTCACTAAAGCTTTTAGTGCACGTTTTAGATTTACTTTTGGTTTTAGAAAGTCAGTTTCCCAAGCTTTTTCACCCCACTTTTTTTGTCCTTGTCATTGTGTACTCAGTTTTTTGCTGTTGTGCCACACTTAGAGGTCGTTGTAAAGAGCTCCAGAGTAAAACTGTCTACCAGGACTCTGTCTTTTGTCATACCGCCTTTCACACTCCATCTATGACTCGCCCTCACTCCTTCCCTCTCCTCCTCTGCCCATCACTCCCCTTTATTCTCTTCCTCTGTCACTCTCTCCCTCGGGCTTACCTGTACAGCTGTTTCCTGCGCGGGCCCTTGCCCAGGCGCTGGGTGGGGGTGGAGGGCGAAGTGGGGGTTGTGGGAGTGAGGTCATGGCTCTCAGCATTGAGGCACAGCCAGGCATGGAAGGCGAACCCGCTTCCTGGCCAGCGCTGGATAGTGGGCACCATGATGCCAGCCATGCTGGGAGTGAGGTCAAAATACTGTAGGGCACTGTCCCGGCCCTCGCGAGCTGCCATGGCGGACAGCGCCCTCACCACGTGCCCGCAGTAGGGGTGCACGGCCCCCGAATTGGCCTGGTCCACCCGCAGGAGTCGTAGCAGGCTCTTGAACTCGTTGGGGCGCAGGGAGAGGGAGCCCAGCGACTGCAGGAGCCCCAGCAAGGCCTCGGCACACTGTCTGTCCAGATGCTCCAGCTGGGCCAGCACCTCCAGCAGAGCCCACACCATCCCGGCCTCCACCGCAGTGGTGCGGCAGGGCAGGGACCCCCCACACACCCCCGCAAGCCACTGAGACACCAGCAGCTGCAGGTTGCGGGAGGCCAGGTCAGGAATCCACTGGAGCAGAAGCAGCAGGGGCTGGTCATTACTGATCCCCAGCGTCACTGCCTGTGAGTAATCCCCTTCAACTGCCTGAGAGGGAGACCAGAGAAATTGAGTTTTTAAATTGAGAAATACAGACAGAGCCACACGTCCTACTGCACTGTGACAAATATTCTGGGATTAGACAAACATTCTTCCCTAAATCTACGCATCTAATCCCAGAACTCCCACACCTGCCAGAATCACAACAGCTCCCAATCCTACTGGGAGAGGGAGGAGAGAACTCGGTATGTGATCTCCTATCACAGCCTGAGGAATAGTGAGCCTCTCTCCCAATAATACTCCATATGTTTATATGTAAATATCTTCTGATTGTGTCTTTATTGTACACGTTTAATCATAACAAAATCTACAGTTTTTGTTTTATGTTAATTGCATTTGTTTTGCTTTGGCAACACTGATTTTACTCATTGGTCACGCCAATAAAGCATCTTGAATTGAACTGAATTGATCAGAGGGAAGACCGGAGTTAGGGTCAGCTATATAGCCCACCGAGGAAGAGAGAGACAGTCCCACAGGGGTCTCCACTATACGCGCAGTCAGTGTCATTAAACCAGCTCTGCGGTGACATGCTCCTCAGAGGAGTTCCAAGGGTAACTGTGCAGCTATGGCCAACTGGCCAATTGCTTTCTACAAGTCAAATGTAAATTCAAAGAATTTCATTCTCAAAACTGATGCTTCACATCAGTTACACCAAAGCAGTACCAATTAGTAAATGTGTACAAACATGTAGGACATTAACATAATATCATTACTGGAAAAGGCTCAGCCTCTGTCCTTCAAGCTGTAATAGATCACATACTGGGCCATATCCTAAGCATGGCCTGGAGAATAAGAAGGCACATCAACATTTGTTCACAACCCAGGCAGTGATTCTAACAATCAAGATTTCACAACCCATCAAACACCAAAGAATCTGAATCTTCAAGAATATTGAAATCACCAATTTTCTTGTAAAACAGGTAGCAAAAATGAGAAAACCTTTAGAGAAACAGACTGTTAAACTTTGTTGGTGGATATATAAGTCCCACAACCAACTATCATGAGCATGGTAAAAATGTTGAAAACAGCTGTTTTATAGGTATTTAAGTACAGTAAAGACAGTGAATTCCCTGCCACTTCTAACAACAAAATTTTGATAAAGTTTGTAACCAGAAGAAACAGTTTGATCCATCAGAAAAGCATTAACATTTTCAATTAAATCCATAAATGAAATGCCTGAACCCTTTACAGAAATTAATTCATTTAATAAAAGGTACATTCTAGCTAAATTAAGTTTAATAGTAATGAACAAAGATCTTTTGTTTAAGACTAAATGATGCTTTTAAAACAAAGTGTGCTATTCCAGTTCTCAAAAGCAAGCAAAACTGAGACATGAGCACCTCTCTGAAGCACGACATTCTGGTCTAGTGCAAGTCACTGTGACATACAGTATTACAGGGCTGTCAGTGGTCAGGGCTGAAATCTTGATAAGGAAAGAGCCAAGTAAGTGTAACCTCCTGAGTTACAAGAACTCTCCTGAAGAGCAGTGACTTGTAACTTCTTCACCTCTGCATTTGACACATGCTAACTTCTTCTCCTCAGTGCTTGAACACTTGTTAGAACGGCTGCCCTCACCATGTTCATCAGCTCCTGTAGAAGTCGCTTGGTTGGCTGGCCCTGGCTCTTCAGCACATCAAACAGGTGAGAGTAGCCAATCCTTTCTTTGAAAACCTCCTGGAGAGTTGGGAATAGATGATTTAATTTGCAAGGCACTAAGATTATAATAAAGACAGCCAGCAGGGCAGTGACATTTGTTTTGCAATACATGATCATCCATTCATCCACTTTATCCAATACAGGGTCAAATGGGGGTCGGAGCCTATCCCAGCTTGCAACGGGTGCACGACAGAATACATCCTGGATGGTGATCCTGGTGATCCTGTCATCACCAGGGACACACAGACACCAACATGCACACACTCACTCCAAGGCCAATTTTCCCAGAAGCCAATTAGCCTACGTCTTTGGATTGTGGGAGGAAACCAGAGAACCCAGAACAAACCCACACAAAAACTGGGAAAATGTACAAACTCCACATGGATAGAGCCCCAGGTCTGGAACTGAACCCAGGGCTCCAGCGCAGAGAGGCAGCAAGACTAACCACTGTGCCACCATGCTGCCCGTTACATGACAATCGCTAACTGGCTAAGAACTGGGCAGAGGTGACCGCGACATGAAGAAAAGACACAAACCTTGGCAGAGGGCGAGTTGCTCATGATGGCAGTGAGAACCCCCAGCGCATGGACTGTGATGGAATCTGAGCCTTTTTCCCAAACCTGGGCACAGAGAGGGATAAAAGCGTGTCAAAGACAGAACGGAAAAAAACGGCGACAGCAGTAACAGCTGTGAAGGGAAGAGAAAGGCAGAGCAAAAAACAGACAGACTGAGAGTGAGCAAAACGTTTCCCTCCGTGCACTGGGAAATGCAAACACAACACAAACCTGAATGCTACGGGGCCCTAAAACATAACACCCACTGGGTGACTATCTGAACAGGGAGAGAGACATCAAGGAGAAACAGATCCCTATGAAGAACAGCCTCAGTTACCACAGCCAGGGCAAAGAAAGTGAGTGGCACAGGCAGACCTGGAGAAGCAGAGATGCTTATTCTGCTACACTGTTAAAAAAATGAAGATATTAGAGCAACATCCTTTCCTACAAAAACATCAAATCCCAGAATTCTCACAGCCGTCAGAATGAGAATATCTATGATTCTTGCTCGGGAAGGAAACTCAAGATCAGTATGTGATCTCCCGTTTCTCTAATAATAACATTATATTATTGGAATAAATGTTTATCAATGTTTATTGTTACTGTTATGGAAACACAGGAATTCATCAAACACTGTGAATGAAGCCTTTGTAATTTGAAACTGACAGGCAGGCAGAGAATGAAAAACCCAAAGACAGAATGTGAGATAGAGCCATTCAGAGAAAAAGCAGCCATTCATACAATGAGGCGACAGCCTCAAAGCGGGTATCTGCTGCCACCAAGCGCTGATAGCCAAGACCATGGCATCCCAAGCAGAGCTCGGGCAGCTACAGCCCACTTTAACACACACCTCAAAGCCCAGCACAAACCACAACTAGAGAGCAGCACTCCTCCTAGGCAGCGGCACAGAGCTAAGCCAGAGCTGCAAGAAACACTTTTTCAACCGCCCAGATGGCATTTTCTGGAAGGACTGTCGTGGAGTGAGGGGACTGACACTTAAAAACTAGAAAGAGCGTCGATTTGCCAGCACTTTTTGGAGTAGAGAACAGAAAGGCACCAATCCCCCTGACGAGAGAGGAAAAGGAACTCTACTCACACAGCCCCAGCCGGTGCTTTACATGAGGGCCCAACTCAAACTGAGTTTTAAATAAAACAGAGATCATTGCCTGATAGATGGAAGGGAAAGCAGGACAAAAATTCAATGCAGCTCTTCATGGTGAAGTTCAGTTTGGATTGGGTTTGGAAAGCCATCCTCAAGAACCCAGTGTTTAGATTTCACGACTGGTGAATGAGTTATAGTTTTAAGGTTATCAGGGGTCCCTACTAATTCACTACAAATTATTATTTTGTGTAGATGTCACCAAAACATACTATGTGTAAGTATGGATCCAAGACCTTAGATTACAACCATTGACGGTCATTGTCACTGTTGCATCACTAGGAGAGGGGGCGTGGTGCCTGACACTGTCCAATATCACAGGCTGGAGATCGAACACCCCTTAACGAAGCTCCCAAGCCCCCACTCACATGGGGACAGTCAAGGATTTAAGCTCTGGCGCTCTGAGAAACAATTGCAGATATGTCAAAACAGCATTTGTGGGAAGGGGGCAAAAGAGGTGTGCAAGCACATATCTTTCTCTATTGTGGGAAAAGGTGCCTAATTGTTTTTTATTATCATAATTTCCATCAATTAATTAGCAAAGACAGTGGATGTTTTCTGCAGGGCTGGGTACAGCACAGGGCATGCAAGATGCATAGGAGACAGTACACTGAGGACTGCTCCCATCGCTGTCGGTCATCTCAATCTCTTCACAGCTAAAACCTGTACTGAAAGTGTTCCTGACAGGGTAGGCCAATGCATAACTTGTGGCTACAGTCTTTAAAGGCATAGCTGTGGATCATTAATAACTGATGCAAACTACTTACGGCACTACTGGACGTTACAGCACTACTTCAGAGGTCAGAGTTTAATCTCTGACCAGCTTGGTGAGTCAGTGTGTGGCTGGGAACTATATCCCCACACTGCAACCACGCCTTCCTCTAATCTGTCCACAGTACTTGACTGAAACAGCAACCATGTTTTTAAGATCTCAAGAGAAGTACTCTACTCTGAATTCTGCCGTTTCCTAGAACATCACGTTTCAGCACACAGAGGCTGGCTCTGTGTTGGGGATGAGCCTTGACCCACTGGAGGTGGTGGCTGAGAGGAGAATGCTGACCAAGCTCACGGCCATCATTGTTACTGGGCAGCGGAGCACTATAAGCAACAGACTGCTCCAGCTACGGTGTTCAAGGGAACGTTTCCCCAAGTCTTTCCTCCCGGCGGCTGTCAGGGTGTATAATGCTGCCCTAGGCTAGGACTGTTAGCTCTTCATTTGCTCGTCTATGGACAGCATGTTGCACCATTGTACTTTTTTGGACATATCTGTATATACCT